AATCGAATATGTAAGATTTCCCACCTTCGAACATCCAGAAAAGTGGTGTCATTGCACCAATGTCTAGGGCATGCGAACAGAGGGCAATCATATGGTTTTGTATCCTGGTCATCTCAGCGTACAGTGCTGTGAATAGTACAAGAGAAGAGTTAGTGTTCAAGCAACGAATAACATTCATAGAGTGAAGTAGATCTTCCTCTTGTTATGGTGTGCTTATGGTGCCGAGAAAATGCGTTGGATTCTGCTCTAAAATAACCAACCCCAATACTGCCGGCATTTTGCGCGCGCAAGTGGCCGGCATCACATGGGCAGCTATTACGCGCAAATTTTACAGCATTTTCTCGGCACCGCAAGAACACTGAAGAAGCTGAAAATTTAATATAAACTGTATACTCACTGCGAATATACTTCGCCCTCGGTGGAATATTGATGCCCAACAGCTTTTCGACAGCAAGCGCGAAACCTTGTTCGTTGCACATCATTGAAACATAGTCAAGTCGATCGAAAAATGGAACCGCCTGAAGTTATGGAAGGAAGTTTAAGGGGAAATATATCACTATGAAAGGATTTGAGGATATACACAGATCCTAATCAGGTTTTCAGTCAAAGTGTAAGGGTTCCTCCGCGCTGCTCCAAAAAAAAACTTCCTGAAAAACCACTTACAACATCTCTGCTAGCATACAGGTCTACACTCAATAGAGCATTATTTCAAAAAAATTCAAAAAAATCAACAGTGTTGTTTGAAGTTTCACGCATGCTGAATTGTTGCTCAACTTTCTAAGCGTTTTCAAAGCTTTTTGATCGACATAATCATATTTTTTTAGGTATAAACCGAGAAGACAGTTGCTACGTTATACTTGACAAAATTTATGAAAGAGGCATTACTTAGAGGCAACTATATAAAAAAAATTAGCGACTCTGGTTAGCACAGGTAAGAGTTTCCTGGTTGCTTAGTTTGCTTTATGAAATCTAGGGTCTTTAAATTTAAAAACCTTCCAAAGTACCTACCGTAATCCTACAGTAACAAGAATCAATGTGATTCGCTTTAACCGATACTAGCCTTTACGACACGATCTTTATGCTGGATA